AATTTCTAAGCTTAGGAAAAAAAGCTTCTCTGCTTTCTCAGTATGCCTTGGATAGTGGTAATAAAGGCACTCATAGAAGAATTCTGGGAATCCAAATGACTGTGTATTTTCTGTTAATTCTGTAGGGACATGTAAACTGAATTCGCTCAGCAGGGAACAGAATTTATTGCAAAATCACATCTTGGTGCAGGGAAGCATATGAAGGCTTTCCTCACCCTTCTTTGATTTATTAAATTATACTTTCATTGTAGCTTCTGGGTAAGGACTCAGAATTGCAGTGCCCTGTGATTTGTATCAAAGAGCTACTCTCCTCCCCTGGTATTTATTGTCAGGATCGAACCCTGTGGTTCAGAAAGACAATGAAGTGTTACCTCTACACTAGATGCCAGCGGGTTGCATGGGTGGTGAATGCTCCAGGCAAGAATCAGAAGACTGTTCCCAGTTTCATTTTATGTCTGACTTAGGGCAAGTTCTTTCTTCTGGTGATTCACCTGCCTAGCTGCCCTCACCATCTCTCCACCACCACCACCACCACCACCATCATCGTCATCATCACAATGGCTTATTTATCACGTGGTTAGTGGTTAAGTGTTTGAGCTCTGGAGACAGACTGTGGGAGTTCCTGTCTGGACTCAGCCCATTTTCAGATGTCTGACCTTGGGCATGTGACCTATCTTCTCTAATGCCTCAGTTTTCTCATCTCTATGATAGGAATAATTAGGCTGGTATGAGAACTGAATAAGAATGCACATAGAATGCTTGGCGTGGTGTCTGGCACATAGTAAGGCTTTTGTCATCCTCATCATTATTAAATTTTATCTGTTGTAATTATTCTTTAGTGACTCTTAAATGGACCATGATAAGATAAACACGTGAATTTCTCTTCTCTAGAAGCATAGAATTGGAAACAGATACTCATTGGCATGAATAGTCAACAAATCTTCATGTACAATGGTCAGTAGAAACTAGACTATACCTACATCAAAGTATGTAAACCCAAGGGGGATAACGTTTCAAGGTTTTAGAGTACTCTAGCGAAGCAGGACAGATAGAGTTTAGCTTAAGTTGGGTTGTTGAAGGTTCATTAACTGTTTCAGTCTTCTTAGGAGCCATAAATCAGGCATCGTTTAGTGCCCCTTGTCCACTTGAGTTGCCCCTGGAGAGTTGGGTTCTATTCTGTTAAGGTAGATGCTCTTGAGAGGCTTACCTGAAAGCATACAAATTTGAGATTGCTAACGTAAGACAAAGCTGTGGCCAAAGTGACCTTTCAGGACATTGCTCTTGCCTCTGAACCTCAGTCTGATGCTAGTGGTCAACTGTAAGATCTGTAGAAGGATAGCCCAGAGCAGAGCAACCATTTCTAAAGGGTGAATTGGTTGCTGTTTGCTTCTGTCAATATAGAAAGTATTTATGAACCATAATACCAACCACTGGAGTGACTTGGTAGTGGTATATATTTGCACTGCCTAGAAAGTTAAAAGGGGATTGGAATATCCTTTTAGAGGCAAGATGGAATAGTCCACCACTGACCAGTTCTGTGTCCTTAGACAAACTGTGTAAGTACCCTGAGTCTCAGGTTCCATAGCTCTAAAATGTGAATGATACTAGACCTCATCCATATGGTGGTTACAAGGATTAGATGCTGTCATGTGTGGCACTTGGTAAGTGCTAGGTCCACAAAACCATCCCTGCTTAGTGCTGCGACTGAGCCACCAACTGGTTGCTGCCCAACCCTGGGCCTTTTTTGTTGGGTCTTGTAGTTACAAAGCCCTGGTAAGCAGGATTTGTTAGCTTCATTTCAAAACTCATTCTCTTTGTCTCATTAACCCAAACCAGACAGAGATTAATGGCCTGGCCTCAGAGGAGCAGGCGGGTACATGTTTCTGGTGCTTTTGGCTCATTGATCACGCTTCTCCAATTCAGGGAATTCAGGGAATGCTTGGGTGTTCCAGGAAGGGGTCTCCTGAGACCCAGGAAACCTTGAAAGAAAGTAATTTGGCACAAATTCATCTCCTAATTAAGGAGGCCTGGAAGTCTTGCACTTTACTGTTTTTTTCTGGATTTTGCCAGCTATAAATAGAAGCAAGTTTCTTTTGGATAGAATGTTTGAATTTACTGGGAGAAATGCAGTGATCAAGGATGGTTAAGAAAAATACTTGCCAAAGTGTGGTCTTCTCTCCTGTACTTTTCTTGTCCAACTTTCCATGGTTAGTGAATGCTAGTCACCATGGATCGCTGGTCCTAGCTGTTACACAGTGACCCATTTCACTCACAGGCCACAGGCTCTACAGGATGGGATCACTGCCCCTCTGCCCTATCATCTTCCACCCGTCTCTGCATTGCACCGATTGTCCACCACACTGGCCCTCTTCCTTCAAAGGCAATGCCTTTTCACCTTTCAAGGACCTGTACTTTCTGTCGACACTGGTTCTCCTATCTTCCCAAGGAGGCTCCCCTCATCGTTCAGGCCTCTTGCAAAGGTCACCTCTTCCGAGAAGCATTTCCTCACCGAAGTCCACAATACCCCCCTGCCTTTTTTAACTTTCTCTAATGTACTTATCAATATTTGAAGTAATCATATTTGTGCATCTGCTTATTTCTGTTTTCTTCACTAATTGGAAAGTTTTATGAGAGCAGAAATTATGGATGTCTAGTTCGTCTGTATCCCCAGCACCTGGAACGTTGCCCGACCATTATAGGCACATAGTATGTATTTGTTAAATGCATGAATAAGTAAATGAATTGCAAGCAACATGGGAAATTACTATTTCAGAGGTCTTCAAACTTTTCATAGCCACTATCTCCTTGTTCAGTAGCCACATGAGTAAAACGCATAAAAGCCAAGGGAGGGGACATTTGGTCACCTGGGGTTTTAGCTTCTCTCCAGCCTCCTTGGCAGTCCTTGTTTGTGCAGGTGCTGTGGGGCTCAATTTGGAAACCATGATCTAGTTCCAGTTCATTTATATAGATGATAGAGTTGCTGCTGAGGGAGAATGGGCCACTGTGGCTCCTCTTTTAAGCAGAAATTATACAGCCTGTATGTCAGCCTTCATCTAGACTTGGTGGTGACTTTTGCCTTCCCCTCAAATTCCATGAAAGTTAAGCATTTCTTTTCTCAGTAGTAGAGTCCAAAGCACCTGCATTGTGTTGTGTTGTTTTAGTATATTTCTTCTGCACAGTCTCATTTGATGTTCACAGCACTCTGGGTGAGTCAGTCAGAAAAACCTATCATTGCCCACATTTTGTAGATGAAGAAATTAAAGTTCAGCAAGACGAAGTTATCGGTGGAGAAGCCCAGTCCAAGATCAAAATCTTTTGACTCCTCATCTCTAGAACTTTTAGGTGCATGCATTGATGCCTTTCATTCATTAGACAATCTTCTTTAAGTATAGAAAACTGTTCCCTTTATCCTCATTTTTTCTGACGTTTAATAAGTGGCCTTGTAGCTTTAGTTTTCTTTAGAAAATTAATAATAAAATAGAGTGATTTGTTGTGTTTAGAACTTGATAATTCAAAGACCTTCTTGAGCGACTCCTTCCTTCCTTCAGTTTATAGATGAGGAAATAGATGCCCAGAGAGGCTAAGAGACCCAATGACACAACACAGCTAAAGGGCTAAGTGGGACCTCTTGACCCAGCGATTCTCAGTCATATTTCTTAAGTGAAAAATACCTTTCTAGATTTAATAGTTCTTTTCAGAGATAGTTGCCTTGATTCCTTTAGGAGTTAAATAAGTGGTTCTCAACTGAGAGTAGCCATTAGAATCACTAGAGGGATGTATATATGTACACACACATACAAATTATGATTAGGTTCACCTTATGCCTTTCTATACCTACAGAGCCCTACAAAAGAAGGGTTTGGGTTCTATGATTTTTTCTTTTCTAAAGTAGAGGTTTCATCTTTTATTTAATCATGACAGCATATCAGGGATGGGCAAACTGTGATCTACAGACTGAATCTGACCCACCACCTTCTTTTTTAGAGCTCACGAGCCAAGCATCGTATTTGCAAACATCTGCAATCGGCTTTATAAGGAATACTAACTTTGAGCACTAGTTAAGCTCAACCTCTCTCTTAAAAAATCCATTCTTCTGATTAGTAGGTTTGTATTTCAAAAATTCTACTCAAGTATTATTATTAGGTTTTAAAGTTTGTCAAAAATTTTTGAAAATTTACTTTCTATCTTGTTATTGAAGTACCTACATAATATCATTGATTTTGCCTCTTGGCCCACAAAGCCTAAAATGTTAACATCTGACCCTTTACAGGAAAAGCTGGCTGACCCTTGCAATATGCCATTGTCCCTTTTATATTGGGGCATTTTCTTTTTTTTTATTGGGGTACTTTCCCTTTTTATGATTTACATAGATTAAGGGGGTTCAGCGGTTAAATATATATTTTCCTGATGACATTCAAATTTCTAGAAGTACGTAGAGTAAAAAGTAACAGTTCCCACTCCCCAGTATTAACAGTCAACAGTTTTTGATGTAAAGGTCCTGACTTTGCCACTAACTAGCTGTGAGACATTAGTTAACTTCTCTAGGCCTCAGATTCTCCATCTGTGAAGCAGTGATAATAACAGCTCTTGTTCAACAGAATTGTCATGTTGGTTATTTCAGATTAGTAATGTGAGATGCTTAGCACATTGCCTGGTGTGCAGTTCATGCTTAATGATTTGTAACTAATTTTAAATTTTTTTCTCCTTTCTATTTATATACACGTATACATACATTTACTTGCCTTCTTAAAAAGAGGGAATATGATTTTTTTTTACACAATAAAGTTGCACAGATGATTCTGATGCACACACACTTATGAACAGCTAAAGTGAATATTGAGAAGTAGATAATTATTGATTGGGTTCATATTTGGGAGCCAGAAATTACCTTCCACTTTACGGTGCAAACTAGGGAAAATGAGGAATGTAATGGTTTTCTGCAGTGAACCTATAAGGTGGTATGAAATACACACAAATGAATTTTTATTTTTATCTTTCAGGTCTACAACTCGAACAAAGACAGCCAGAGTGAAGGGAGTAAGTACGATGCTTGGGTAACCTTCTACTGCCAGGGTTGGGAGTGGGGTTTGAGAAGTTGCTACCGCCGGTGTGAACCACCAGGCGGTGCTGTGGAAATGTTGGGTTGGCCCCAGTTCCCAAGTGCAGTGGGACATGCCTCCACCCCGACTTTCCATCAGTGACTCCTGTAAGTGAGCCTGGCTGGCAAGACTGTAGTGACACCTTGCATTTAAATAACACATCACACTTTACAAAGCATTCTCACGTACATTATCTCCTTTAATTGTAGATCTTCCTAAGACAATAGCTCGTCACCACTTAAAAGTTACTTAATACAGTAATACTCAACTCCCCAAGAGCCTTATCCTGTGGGAAAGCCAGAGTTGCCCTTGCCTCCCACACTGTCTTTCGCTCCAAGGACCGGAGAGACAATAACTATGTTAGGTGATTTCTTAGTAACTCTGTTTTCTTTGTGAACTCTTGAGGGAGGAAAGAATGGAGATGAATTCTATGGTAATATTCCTCTGTGATGGAAGTGTCCCTGGGCAGCCTCTGTAGGCTATAGTCCATTTGCCCTGCCACTGCCTCTGAGCACTCTCGTTAATCATGATTTCCAAGGGTACCTGTAACCTTGTAAAGGCGATGGGATTAAAATGAACCTGCTACTGGTAGAGTGTTTGGGCTGATTATCTCCTTGGTGCATAGGAGAAAAAACAAAATCCTTCCAGGTTGCTGCAGGAGTACAAAGGAAATCTTGTGCCTTGCCTCAGATTTGCTTTGTAAAATCCATTTGAGAAAAAATGTAAAGGTAGCCCTACCGTGAATTCCAGTTGTGTTAGGAAAATCAGGAGAACAGTGCCTCTCCATGTGGACGAAAGGATGACGTTGTTTTTTTTGTGAAAGCCATTATAGGACAGAGATTTTTCCCCCTTTCTTTCTCTTCAAAATACAATTTTTGCCCAGGAGTTTTGTATAAAATACTAAGTAATTTGGAATGCCTCCTGTTGGTAGATTGAGAGGCCTTTATGAGAGGAAAAAATGTTCCCTCCCCATCCCCCCAAAAAATTGAACAAGGGAAAAATTTTAAGTAAATATTCAAGGAAACAAGTAATTCCACCCTACCCTACCCTCATTAGGTAGGATTTTTTTAAGAGTACCTGAAGTCAACTCTGGCTAACTGAGGCAAAAACAGCAAAAACAACAGTTACAATACTGTGGGAACATGTAAGGCTGTATGGTAACTCATAGTAAGGCTGGAGGAGCTGAAAAGCCTGGCTTGAGAATAGAAGAGTTCTGGAGACCCAGGAACCCGGTAAGAAAGGGTCTTCTGGATAACACTTGCAAAATGATAAAGCTCTGAACTGTTTGTAGTCCTTGCCTCACCTTTCTGAAAATTGAGATTCCCAGGCATCAAGTTGGTCTAATTTGGGTCCACCCAGGGGAAAACTGTACACTTTGATTGAGAGTTTCAAGACTGCTCCAAAAAAAATGGTGGCAGAGTAGTTTCTCAGAGGGAAATCAGGGAAGCCATCAGCACCAGAGGGGATGGATGGCAAGCAGGCGACACTGACAGATACTCACACCTGGCCCCACCTGGGACACAGTGCCTCCATAATAAAGGACCCAAAAGTGGTGGGGGAGGAGAGGCATGTGAATGGAGACCTTCCCCACACCGGTCAGAAGTTCACTTATAACTTGTGACCTTATGAACCTACATCTCTGTACTTGAGATAAATCCCGATAGAGTTGAAAGACAACTGGTTCTGACATTTCTGTAAGGCATTTTGATAATATGCTTTGGAAGCCTTGAAAAAGTGACCACCCTTTAACCTCCCAACAGCTTGTCCTAAAGAAATCATTGGCGTGCAAAGATGGTTTTTACAACAAATAAGTTTGTTGGGGCATTGGTGATAATAGCAAAGAATGGGTAACAATCTAAATACTAAATAGGGAGTTGGATAAATAAATTATGGAGTAATACACAGCCTTTAGAAAGAACCAGAGAGGGCTGGATATATTTGCGGAAATTGTGTCGATAGTATGTTGATAATTTAAATTAAAAAAAAATTAGGCTCTAGAACAACATACATAATAACATGCATTATTTGACCTGCCTCAAGAAAAGAATAATACAAACAGTTTCATTTTGGAAAATACAAGCAGTTGTGACATTTTGCTTTTTGCATCCCATTATTCACACAGCAAAGAGAGTTGCTTGCCTTGGGTGTCTAGTGATTCTTCAGTCATTACCCTTTACTCTAGCACACAGGAGATAAAAAGATGGGTTAAAAATAGTGGCCACTTTTTCAGGAGTCATTTAAATAGGAATTGTTTTTTTAGGGTATTCATTGATTTCCAAGCTGGCAAACCAGTGTTTAGTGTTAGTGTTTCTTCACCCTTTTTTGAGTTCTTTCCCACATGGTACATCTTCTTAGCTTCCCCTCCCTGCTGGGATGGTGGTTGTACTGTGTCTCTTGATCGCAGTAGTTTGCAATTTAATCCAAACCCGCAGGGCTCATCTGCCACAGGTGGCGCTAATGCTCTGGGTCTTGATTGTTCTGCAACACTCCTATTTATGACACAATCTTGCAGCCAATCTGATATGAATTTAAGAGTGAGGCACTGCTCTTCTTAACCAGATTCCAAATGTCTAGCATCCAAATTCCAAATGTCCAGCATTTTCCTTTCTAGGAAATGTTTTGATGGGAATTTCAATGCAAACATTTTATCACAGAGCCAGAATGTTTTGAAGGAGCAGATAGCAAAAGGGAACTTCTGAATTTGTTGCTTTCATCTTGAAGTTTCTCTCAGGGCATATGGTGCCTGCAGAGTATAAGACAGGGCCATAAGTAATGTCTGTCAGCTGCTCGTATTTTCCAAATGACCCAGTTGCCAGGGAGAGGATGGCAGCTGATAAATCCATGTACATTTCTTTTCAGAGCCTTTTCCTCTCCTCTTCGCTATGCTCTGTTTGGATCTCAGGTTTAGATAGTTGAATCATCACACTCCCTTGTTCATGACACATTATCAGCACAGGTTTCTTGATTCATTCATTCCTTTTGTTTCATTTTATTCATCCATTCCCTTTAGTTCTTTTTTCTAAAATGTGTATCTTTTATCTTCTGTGTTCTTAAGTTAATAAATTGTTCTGAGTCTTGTTTTATTTCTTACTTTGTGCCCTCATGATTGTGTTAGGAGCCATTCATATTCCACTGTGTCCTTTTACACTGTGGCTTCCGATTGTTATATAATTTGTGGTATACAGCACTTTGTATCTGTTTTTGTAGAGATGTACTCCATCTCCTTATACCTCCAACTCCTCATCACCACTAACACCACCACAGTGGACATCTTTGTACATATCTTCCTGAGTGAGAATTCCTCTGGGACACACCCAACCAAGGCATTGCTGGCCAAAGGCTATACATAGTTTAAGTGCTCTCTCATATTGTTCTCCAGAGTGGTCAATCCACAGTCCCACCAATTCTACGTGCAAATTTCTCCATTCCTGCCAAATCTCATGAGTATTCAGCTAATTTTTTGCCAGTCTGATAGGTGTAAAATAATAGGTCATTGTTGTTTTAATTTGCATTTCTCTGGTAATTAATGAATTTGAACATCTATTCATATATATGCCAGTTTACTGGGTTTCCTCTTCTGTTAATTGCCTATTCATGTCCTTTACCCATTTTTCTGTTTTAGTTACCATCTTTTCTTTTTGATATATAAAAAGTTCCCTCTGATTCTAGTTACTAATCCCTTGTTAGATTCAGACAATTTAAATATATGTTCTCATCTTGTCATCTGTCTATTAATACGTGGTATCCTTCTTTGACTACAAAGCCTTTAAAGGCTTTTTTTAATATTCAGATCATCTCTTTTTTGCCTTCTGGTTTATGATTTTCAAGTTGTATTTTGGAGAAGGCCTTTCTAACCCATGTCACAAAGATGTGGACATACATCTTCTTTTATTGGCTTTGTGAGTGTGTCTTTCACATTTAAGTTTCTAACCCAGCTTATTTCCACCACTATATGAGATGTTTCACGAGGATCCATTCTTATTTTTATCATGAGAAGAGTTAGTTTTTCTAACAACAGCTGTCTATTCTTTTCTTGATTAATTTGTGGTGCTGGTGTTCTTGCATAGTAGGTTTGCATATTTCAGTTTTATCTCTGAGCCCTTTATTCAATTTTTTTGTTTAGCTGTTTTTGTCCCAATACCTCTCCCTCTGTTTTTAATGCAATAACATTGAGGCAACTCTTAATATCTAGTTAGTTAAGTCTCCTCTATTTATTTTCCCTTTTAAGGTTTGACTTGGGTATTTATGAGTCTTTATCCTTCTATATAAATTCTAGAATAAGTTTAAGAAGTTAGCCGGGCGCGGTGGCTCACGCCTGTAATCCCAGCACTTTGGGAGGCCGAGGCGGGTGGATCACAAGGTCAAGAGATCGAGACCATCCTGGTCAACATGGTGAAACCCCGTCTCTACTAAAACTACAAAAAATCAGCTGGGCATGGTGGCGCGTGCCTGTAATCCCAGCTACTCAGGAGGCTGAGGCAGGAGAATTGCCTGAACCCAGGAGGCGGAGGTTGCGGTGAGCCGAGATCGCGCCATTGCAATCCAGCCTGGGTAACAAGAGTGAAACTCTGTCTCAAAAAAAAAAAAAAAGAAGTTTCCGGCCTGGTGCAGTGGCTCACACCTGTAATCCCAGCACCATGGGAGGCCAAGGCAGGTGGATCACAAGGTCAGGAGTTGAAGACCAACCTGGCCAACATGGTGAAACCTCATCTCTGCTAAAAATATAAAAATTAGCAAGGCATGGTGGCAGGTGCCTGTGATCCCAGCTACTCTGGAGGCTGACACAGAAGAATCGCTTGAACCTGGGAGGTGGAGGTTGCAGTGTGCTGAGATCGCACCACTGAACTCTAGCCTGGGTGACAGAGCAAGACTCTGTCTCGAAAAAAAAAAAAGAAGTTTCCCTTTGAGGAAAATTTTTCTTGGGGGTTGCATTGAATC